TCACTAAGATTATGTTAAATATAAAATGTAAAATGTAAGTATCTAAAATTACCACTATGTTCATATATAAAAATTTAAATGAATTACTGTTACATAAAATACATTACATAAATTACCCCATCAGGGACTGGAGAATCTTCATTGCTGCAGGACAAAACCTGGCTACCTGCACTGTGACAATAGGCTTTTCATCTATGAGCAGCATTTGTATATAGTCTGAATGTGGGCTCATCACACTCCTAAAATAACGTAATGCACCACCCTTAAGAAGCCACTACACTCACTAACACTAACTCATTTCCCACAACCTCACTGGCTACCTCTAACTTGGTTGGAATAACAAAGCAAGGAGGTACAATTAAAATGCATGATACCATCCCCCTTTCACACAGGAAACATTTCTAGTGTTCCAAAAACATTATCATGAACTCCATCTCTCAAAGAAAAGGACATTAGAAGGAGAGAAAGTACCTTTCTATAGGGTTCTAAAGCTGGAGTTTTGGCATTTATCCTTGCTTTATGCGCCAAGCCATACATTACCTTACAGAATTACAGCAGATGCAGAAATGAGATTCATTCAGAGCCTGTGAACTCTGAAGAGGAGAGAGGCATGGGGCATCCAAGGTACACTAAGTTCCTGCAAGAGAACTGGAGTGTTGAGGTAGGTGAACTATGAGGCACACTTAGATAAACTGACTTTGCAAAATTATCATTCATCTAGGGCAAATATAATACATTGCTCCCAGGAGACCAGAGGTGATTAAGAATCAGCTGCTTCTATAGCGACAGATCATTGCACAAGTTAGCTCAGCACTGAGTCCATTTTTGCTGTACATATCTGAACGACTGGCCCAGAACTTGAATATCTGAATTTCTATAAAAACATGGATAACTACCTCTATATCGGTTTTTGAATAAGTTTGATCTGGGCATCTGAAGATATACCTGGAAATCTTGGTGGATCAGAGCAAGGATAAACAGTTCCCAAATATCAAATAATAGTATTTCCCTCACCCTCTTCCCAAAATGAATATTTTGTGAATATGCTTTTTGAATGTGCTTTTTGTACATATATTCAAAGTATACCATGAGAGTGTGAAGTACAGGATTCACTTCCAGGTACATCTGGCATAAGATCCAGCCAAGAAGCATGCCTTTTCTGTCCCAGGGCCTGCCCTTTGGAATGCCGTATCACCCTGTGTTAGATTGACCACGCCCCTGCTGGCCTTTCAGAAAGCCCTCCAGACCTGGGTGCTTTCTTAGGCAAGGGGGTTGTGAGGTTAGGTGAGGCCATCATGTGTTGATTGACTGGTTTCCCTTGATTGCCATCTTGTGCTTTTTGCTTTGGTTATTACTGTTTGTA